GGCTGTGTACAGAGTGCAGATGTTTATTTAAAATAAAGTCAAGGGATCCCTTGTGAGCATCGCTGTACGCGGGGGCCCTCCCGTGGCCTCAGCCCCTGGGCGTGGGCACAGGCTGTGGCCCCAGGTCTCAGGAGGAAGGGGGCTAGAATCCACCCCAGAGCGTGGCTGCCCATGTTAACCAGTTGGACCTCTGGGCCAGCTCAGCCTTTCGTCACAGCTGTCCCTGTCCTTGCAGGTGGGGCCAGCAGTCCTGGTCTCCCTCCCTGAGGCAGTGGTCCAGCCTGGCTGCCACCTCCAGGCCAGGCAGACGGGAAGCTCCGCGGGCAGCCGTGGCTCTGGGACCTGCACCCTCGGGGCTCCGGTTGCGCGGCAGCCTGGCCACAGCTGGGCCTGCCCTGGGCGTGGCCACAGCTCACGGAGGAGCTCAGCCGTGAGACCACAGTGCATGCCAGCCCTCGACGCCAGAGGACAAGCGGGGTGTCGTGATACTGGAGGGGAGACATCAGGACACAGAAGACAGGGCTCAGATGGGACGTCATGAGCTTTATTTACTCTTGAAATGGTTACAGCAGTCACAGACACGTCACAGCTGAGCCACGGCCATCAGCAGTCCAGGAACGCCCCGCCCCGGTGGCTGCAGCCAGTGCCCAGCGCAGCCCCCTCCGCCTCTGGCTCCTGGGACCCTTCAAGAGCTGTGGCCCGGCCACCAGTGGGCTCACCTCCCCGACCCACAACTAACGGAGTGGGAGGAGCCAGTCTTGTCAACCTGGCATCGTCCTGGCGGATCAACGGGCACAGGGACCCTCGGGCCCCATCACCCTCCCGTGTCTCCTCCTGCCTCCCCCCACCTCCCACGCCCTCCTCTGGCTGACAATACATGTGCCCTGACTGCCCTGCACAGCCGGCATCCGGACACAGTCTGGCTCTTGCATTTTCTCTCCAAGACCTGCAGCTTGTAGGCGCTTGGAAGCTGGGGACGTGGGGACAAACGCCCCCACGGAAGATGCTGCCGCAGAAATGGGGAGATACCCTGCCCCCCTTTACATCAGAGCCCCCACCGTCCCAGCTCTGGGACAGGGCCGAGGGCAGGAGGCCATGTCACTACAAACAAGCAGGTTTAATCCTTTATTAGAAACCATGCAAACTTTAATACAAAAAATACAAGTGCAGTCAGAATCTTCGTGTCAGTGATTCCCAGGATTCTCCTCGGCAGCCTTCGCCCCCGGCCGGGACCCCTCGCAGGCTGGCCTCGCCTCGCTCCCTCCTCGTCAGGCTACAGGGACGTGGGGTGGCCTCAGTCTCATGCCTTTATTTTTAAATTTCTGGACCTAATTCCCCAAATACCCACACGGTTTTGGACACCTCGGGCTCCCTGGGGGCTGGGGCTCGAGTGTCCTAGGCCTGCAGGGCCCTTCCCAGCACTGACCTGTCTCCCACCAGATCCCAGGAATGAGACCGACGTGCCCACACCAGCCTCTTGGTTAGAGAAGCAAAGCAGCATCCATGCCGAACGCCAGAGCCACCCGTCCACACGCGCAGCCCCTCGGGCTCTCCCTGCTCACCCCACGCCCCTGCCCACACCGCCTCGGCCCCAGCTGCCAGGCCCCCGCCTGACCTCCTGGCTGGGGGGTCTCAGGATCTCCCCTCCGTTTCCTTTAAAAACACCTGCTGAAGACTTTCCTTTAGACGTGACTTCAACCTGCACAACTACTCCACCAGTTTTTAGGTTATTTTTTTAAAAAGGGATAAAACAAGGAAAAAAAGTATGACAGCAGCTAGAGAGGCCTGGGAGGCAGCGGGGACAGGCAGCCTGGCCCTCACTGAGGAGGGGCGGCAAGAGGGGTCTGGCACCCCCTGCGGTGGCATCAGTGGGGGCAAAGGGAGAGGCAGTGGCTTAGCGAGCTCCATGGGACACTCGGGGCTGGGCGTCCATCATGTGGACACCCCTCTTCCCTCCAGTGGACCCAGCAAGGAGGAGGTGTGTCCGTTTTCTGGTTTGGTCCAAAAACCCAA